TCGGCCTCCCTCGGCCTCCCTCGGCCTCCCTCGGCCTCCCTCGGCCTCCCTCGTCACAGCTGGATCCGCTTCGTACAAGGCTAGAGCTGCACCACCTGGCAAGGTTAATTGCAAGGATTAACAAGCTAATCCCTGAGAAGTGCTCAGCAAGGACCCAGCATCTCCGCTCCCAGCATCGTCCATTATCGCTATGGACAACAACATCAGGTCAGGGTTGACTGTCTCACCTGCCTCCCACCTGTGGCCTCAGCAGCCCGCAGAGTCGGCCGCTGCACAGATGGCAGCCATAGATTTCTCAGAAAGCACTGTTAGGGGGTTGGTCACTTGTTTTTGATTGTTTTGTTTTAAATCTCAGTTTGTCCTTAATGTTTTGAGACAGCAAGAGAGATGGAGAGGTTAACTGGGCCCTCCGTGACCCCCAGTGCTCCTGCTCACCAGGCCAGCCTCCTGCCCAGCCCAGCTCTGCCACAGAGCCTGTCTGGCTGCACAGGAAAAGGGAGGCCTGTGTCCTGCTGAGGTGATGATACCTTGGGAGTCCTGTCCCGTATCCTCTTGAGACTCATCAGCCTTATTCAGGATCTTACTGTACTCCCCGTCCTTGAGTTCAGGTTCGTGTTCTACAGGGTCCCCCAGTTCTGCCACATCCTAATTGTGGGCCTTTGGACAAGCCCTTTGGTTCCTGCATCTTCTGCAAAATGGGTCGGGAGGTGCAGTCTCCCCAGGCTACGGGAGAACCCATGGGGATAGAAAAGGCATGTGAGCTCTGCTCATTTGGGTGACATGGGACCTCAGTGGTTACCCCTGGGCTGGGGAGAAACCCCTCCCCAGCTGATGGGTCCAGGTGACGCAGGCCTCAAGAGCCTGGCTGGCGCTTCAGGCTCAGACCTCTGGAAATGTTGCAGCTGCCACTCAGCTACAACCCAGCTGGGACCCACTGACAGCGTCTTGATTTCAGCCAAAGCGCTTTTCCAGACGGGCTGCTAATTAGGGCTAATGGGCCGCTCTCCCTGCTGGCTCCAGCTGCCACTCCCGCCCCCTCCATTAAAGACAGGAGGAGACGGAGAGGGTCGTGGGCAGCTGTCCTGGACTCCCCTGAAAGCTCAGCCTTCCGGGTTAAACCATGCCTTCCCAAGCCTCTTTGGGGGAGGGGGCTAACGTTCTTCATGGCTTTCTCACCTGACACAATAGTCACCCTAATTCCCACTCTACGGTAGGTCCAGGTCCGGTAGGTCCTCCGGTAGGTCCTCAGAGGACACCGAGGACTTGTGAATATGCTGAAGCCAAAGCCTGGTGTGCCTGCATTCAGAGCTTGAACCACGTCTAGCTGTTTGTCTTTGGGAAAAATAACTTAACCTCTCTGAATCCAGACAACTGTGCTTATTAACTGACACCAAGCTGAAAGGGAGGTTACGGGGAGGGGTGTGAGATGAGATGTGGTGGGCGGAACACAGAGGCCAGCAGCACAGCCCACAGCCGGGAAGGTTATGAGTCAGCCTCCCCAGGGGAGGTTGCAGCAGCTGCCTTCATGGTGAGTGAGCAGCGCCCAGGGAGGAGGCCCGGCCAGTCTCAGGAAGCCTCCCATGGTTCCTTCGGGATCTCTGAATTGTCCTCACCAGGTTCATGCTCCAGAAGGGGTCTGCACAAAGGGGGGATCCAGGATACCCAACTAGGGCTACCTTAGCAGATCAACAGGCTGGCATCCAAGTGCAGGTAGGCAGCCCCGCACATTCTTCATCCAGAATCTGACCCCACCCCAACCTGCCCTTCCGAAGTTTCCCCATTCATCAGGGAAGCAGGACCCCTAGGGAGCTTATGAGCCAGAGCACACTACAGCCCACCATGGAGGAAGGCACAAGGTAGGCAGGAGGGCCTCCTGGAGGAGGCGAAGTCTGGCTGAAGACACGGAAGAGAAGGTAAGGCAGGCCAAGCAAAGGGAATGAGGCAAGTAGAGCAATCCATGCTAGACTCACAGCGCTTTCCCTGAAGGCTGACGTGCTCGGAACACAGAAGAAGTGGGAAGACGGGGAAAGCTTTAGAGGGAAACAGGCTGGGCGGTAAAAGCGCACATGACGAGATGTGGATAAGAACGAAGAAGACAGAGAGAACCGTAGACAGCAACACTACCATGAAGACCTAGGAAGCCCAGGTAGGCTTTATGATCTTGAAGGACTCGCCTGAGCGGGGGCGGGGAGCAGAGGACAGGGGTGGGAGCAGCCGACAGGACGGGGAAGAGTGGGAATGAGAAGGCTCTCCCTCTAGTCGTGAAGCTGGGCTTGCCTGCTTTGACTGCTGTGCCAGGTGCAGGGAGAGACTGCAGAAAAGGCACAGAGCTGTTCTCCCTGCAAAGTTATACTGTTGAGGGGGAGAAAATGGACCCGAAAGACCCACAAATAAAAATAAATGACCGGAATCATTGGTAGAACGAACAGTGGAGACAGGTGATGTCAAAGCTGAAGCAGTGTGTTCAACCGGATGGTGGGGCGGGTGACATTGACCTTAAACTTGGAAGTGAAGAAAGTGATGGTCAAGTCAGACATGGGTGCTCACACCTGTAACCTATGTAATAGCTACATAGAAAGCACTTGGAAGACGAAGACAGGAGGGCTGCCATGAGTCTGAGGTAAGGCTGGGCTACAGGGTGAGTTGTAGGCCAGCCTGGGTTATGGAGTGAGACTCTTTCTCAAAAACAGAACCATTGAAATGTCTCAGCAGGTTAAGGTCACTCGCTGACAACTTGACAAGCTGAGTTCAATTCCCAGGACTCACACAATGGAAGGAGAAAACCGACTCCCACAGGCTGTGCTCTGACCTCCACATGCACTGTAGCATAAATGCACACAGATAGATAGATAGATAGATAGATAGATAGATAGATAGATAGATAGA